CCACCATAGATTTTACCAGCCACATCTGCTCCAAGTAACAGTTCGATTGGTCCAGGTTCATTTACATCAGAAAGTTCAATATTCAAACTGCGAACTTCTTCCATCCAAGTACCATCGAAAACTGGTAAAATATCGGTACAAATAGCAGGCTGGTCAAGAACTTCAAATGTCAAAGAATAGCTATCCTTGCAAACAGTAACATCATAGCAATTGTGAATTTGTGTCATGGTTTTTCCGCCAAATAGACAATGGACAATACTTTCTGTTCGTTTAGGTCTATATCCTAACTTCATGGCTGTAGATCTTAGAATATAGGACCTCTGGGACCCACTGTCGATTAAAGCGCGCAAAACGCAAGACCTTTCTCTGGCGCCTTTCAACTTTACCCTTAGAGTCTGTAAAAACACGTGATGTCTAGTACAATTAGTAAGAGTCTGTTCCGTAACAGGATTTACATTGTCCTCAACGGCTTTATTCGAAGGTAATTGTGGACACATAATTGGTACATGTGATCGCGAACAAATCACGCAGCATAGGCGCACGCGACACTTTTTTGCCATGTGACCTGACATAAGACACCGAAAACACGCTCGTTTGTCTGTTAACTGTTTTCTCCGATCTTCTAAACTGATTTTACGCGCTTTCACGCAGTCCTGACTCTTATGCAGATTATTACAAAAAACACATTTATTCGCGTCGCAGTTTACTAAATCTGTAGCCGAAGGTAACGCTACCCCAACTCTATCCATTTTTCTCTCGACCCTAGACTTGGCACCGCCATGACCCGGTGAATGTCCTGCAGATAACCCAAAATTTTCTGTGACCAATGTAATTCTTTGTTCATTTTCGACTTCATTCTTTAAAAATTGCATTAGGCTTTCAAGTCGATTCTCTAGAGAAACTTCAACAAGAGACAATTGCCGGGGCAAATTCGTCGTGCTGCCAACCATTTGAACAGCTTGTGCAGTACGTTGCCAAACACGTAATAACTCTTGTGGCAAGCAAGACTCAATGGGAAAAAGTAATGCGGAACATTTTTCTGAAGTGATGCCTAACGTTTCGAGTGACCTGATTTGTGTTTCGATTCTATCGTACAATGTACACAAATCCATCTTATCTTTCGAAACTGCATTACTTAAAATTAAGGTGAGAAGTTCCCTTACATAAAACTCAATTTGAAGATCTTCTCTCCCGAATCGTGATTGCATGCATTCTATGATTTTACTGTAACTTGCTCCAATCACAGGAAAACTTTCGACAAGCTGTCTAGCTCTAGAATTTGGCACGGTTGCTTGTAACAAATATTCAATTTTGTCATGATTGTCAATTTCTGGGCCCTCGTGTACTTTTTTAAATTGTGCCCAAAAAGACAGCCAGTCTCTGATGTTGCCGTCATAGCGCTTAAATTCTATTTCAGGAAGTTTGAATTTTCGCTTTCCTAAATTTCCATTATCTATGACGGGTCCTGACATTATCGAGACGTGATCATGATCACCTTCTGCCTTGCTTCCCTGACATTTTTCCAATGTCATTCTTAAATCAGCATATCGCCTTTTATATGTGTCACAAGCTCCTACCTCATTCAGCAGTTCCTCTTCGGTAGCATCGTCTAACAGTAATTCATACAAATGGGCATCCAGCTCCTTCAAATCGTCGCATTTCTCGCGCAAAAGCTCCCATGTAACTTTAGCCTTTTGCAAATCTACAGTCTGCGCCGATAAAAGTTGTTCCAGTTCGTTTCCCAAACGTGTGAAAGCTCCGCGAACTACAGCTCTACTCTTCTTTTTCCTATCCAATTCGGCCATGATTCACTGGAGGAATATCACCGTTTTCAATACACGAAACCCAAGGGGATAAACGTTGTGTGTAACAAGGCCGACACCCCGCCACACCTTGTGCGGTGAAACCACGAAGTGTCCGGCAACGTTCTTCGCGCTTTAATGCGTGGACACCAACGCCGGATGGGATCAACATCTGCCCCAAGCACTATCCGTACTCCGGACAAGACAGCAACAACAACGACCATAACGAGCTGTCATCCAAGATCTTCAACAAGATTTCCAAACCAGTCTCTACAAACCAGACGCCCAAATACCCACCGAATTCCAGGTCAGCGCACGAGTCGTGGTGAGGTCTCATCCGACATATCGAGAAGCTTTCGCCCCGGTCTAGACTGGCTCCGGCAAAGTACTACGACGTTTGATTGACGTTACCTACAAAATCGGGCGACTCCGCGCTCGAACTCAACTTCGCCACATATACGACCTCCGACTAGCGCCCCAGGGCAATGATGACGTCGAACTAAGCGACGAGTCTGAGGATGACGACCCAGTCCCAGGGGACAACCACCAACTACAACCTCCACAACCAGACCAGCCAGCTACCAGAGAGCAACAATGTCAAGGTACCGCTCCCGGTCGAGCCACCACAGCCAGGTCCAAGCCGCAGACAGCCTAAGGCAAGGTCCACCGCAGCAGACGCAGAGCCATTAGGTCAGAGCGATCGTCAGCTCTCCTGCAGCAGCCAAAGCCGAGCCAACAGCGAGTCCAGAGACCTATGTCACAACATGGCCTTGGTAACAAACCCAAACCAGACCACCGACACTACGCCAGAGCAGCAGCCCAGAGAGACCAAGGCCAGAGAGGACCACCGTTCCCAAGCCGCTGTTCCAGCCTACGCAGAGCCTATGCCAGAGCAGCGTGCCGACAACAGAGAACCATCAAATCAGGGCAATTTACGTTCTAGTTGTCGTGCCAGCTACCCAAGTGCAACCAAAAAATCAAGCATCAAGTCCCAGTGCAATCACGAGGCCGCAGATCCGGAGCAGAACGCCTGATCCAACCGTCAGCCGAGCCAAGTAACAAATACCCTAGAGGTATTCGCGAGTGAAAGTGAAAAATATTCCTCAGAGACAGAAAATAGACTGCATATTTTATCCCATTACAATATTTACTTTTAAATAACGCTTTCTAAACGTTCATTTTTTCGCACTGGGTGCACATTGATTTCCATTTTTCATGTAAACATTACATTTCTTAGTTCCAATTAAAACTAGGCCCGACAGTCAATAAAGTCGATTCGCACGAAGGAGGGTGTCACCGAACCCGAAACTTTGCATTAAATCTAATGTAAAATAAATACAAAATCATCGAAGACAGCGAAAACACAGCGACATCGCTGTCATCAGTCATCAATAAAATTAAGATAGTGACAGTCACATAAATACGAATCGACTACTGACTCTCGGACCACGGTAAATCAGACTATTATTTTCATATCAAACCATTTCCGAAAGTTTCTGTGAATTTTTTTTACAAAAAAAAAGCAACACGAAGTTCTACGTCTCCCCAGGAGTCTTACTAGCCGTGGCTTCGAAAAAATCGGGTATCAAGAATCTACTAGGAAACGGAGGCGTAGACATGGCGCCCAACTAAGGGCCCCGAGTGGACAAGTGCGCCCACAAGGACCTCACAACCAGGTATCGATATGGAAAATAGATATGCACCACCAATTCAACAAAGACATTCAGAAATAGACAGTTAATTGTCTTTTGGACCGGCACAACGTTCCACTCCAAGGCAGGAACCACCCACAGCCGAACGTCTTATTGATGCGTTTACGGCAGGCTTACGCAACGTGCTACAGCCGCAAACAAGGCCGACACCCCGCTACACCTTGTGCGGCGGAACCACGAAGTGTCCGGCAACGTTCTTCGCGCTTTAATGCGTGGACACCAACGCCGGAGATGGGATCAACATCTGCCCCAAGCATTATCCGTACTCCGGACAAGACAGCAACAACAATGACCAGAACGAGCTATCATCCAAGATCTACAAACCAGACGCCCAAATATCCACCGAATTCCAGGTCAGCGCACGAGTCGTGGTGAGGTCTCATCCAACAAATCGAGAAGCTTTCGCCCCGGTCTAGACTGGCCCCGGCAGAGTACTACGACGTTTGGGAGATGTTACCTACAAAATCGGGCGACACGGCGCTCGAACTCAACTCCACCACATATACGACCTCCGACCAGCGCCCCAGGGCAATGATGACGTCGAACTAAGCGACGAGTCCGAGGATGACGATCCAGTCCCAGGGGACAACCACCAACTACAACCTCCACAACCGGACCAGCCAGCTACCAGAGAGCAACAATGTCAAGGTGACATACCGCTCCCGGTCGAGCCACCACAGCCAGGTCCAAGTCGCAGACAGCCTAAGCCAAGGTCCACCGCAGCAGATGCAGAGCCATTAGGTCAGAGCGATCGTCAGCTCTCCTGCAGCAGCCAAAGCCGAGCCAACAGCGAGTCCAGAGACCTATGTCACAACATGGCCTTGGTAACAAACCCAAACCAGACCACCGACACTACGCCAGAGCAGCAGCCCAGAGAGACCAAGGCCAGAGAGGACCACCGTTCCCAAGCCGCTGTTCCAGCCTACGCAGAGCCTATGCCAGAGCAGCGTGCCGACAACAGAGAACCATCAAATCAGGGCAATTTACGTTCTAGTTGTCGTGCCAGCTACCCAAGTGCAACCAAAAAATCAAGCATCAAGTCCCAGTGCAATCACGAGGCCGCAGATCCGGAGCAGAACGCCTGATCCAACCGTCAGCCGAGCCAAGTAACAAATACCCTAGAGGTATTCGCGAGTGAAAGTGAAAAATATTCCTCAGAGACAGAAAATAGACTGCATATTTTATCCCATTACAATATTTACTTTTAAATAACGCTTTGTAAACGTTCATTTNCCGGAACGCCTGATCCAACCGTCAGCCGAGCGAAGTAACAAATACCCTAGAGGTATTCGCGAGTGAAAGTGAAAAATATTCCTCAGAGACAGAAAATAGACTGCATATTTTATCCCATTACAATATTTACTTTTAAATAACGCTTTGTAAACGTTCATTTTTTCGCACTGGGTGCACATTAATTTCTATTTTTCATGTAAACATTACATTTCTTAGTTCCAATTAAAACTAGGCCCGACAGTCAATAAAGTCGATTCGCACGAAGGAGGGTGTCACCGAACCCGAAACTTTGCATTAAATCTAATGTAAAATAAATACAAAATCATCGAAGACAGCGAAAACACAGCGACATCTCTGTCATCAGTCATCAATAAAATTAAGATAGTAACAGTCACATAAATACGAATCGACTACTGACTCTCGGACCACGGTAAAACCACAAATCAGACTATTATTTTAATATCAAACGATTTTCGAAAGTTTCTGTGATTTTTTTTTTTACAAAAAAAGCAACACGAAGTTCTATGCCTCCCCAGGAGTCTTACTAGCCGCGGCTTCGAAAAAAATCGGGTATCAAGAATGTACTAGGAAATGAAGGAGTAGACAANAAAAAAAGCAACACGAAGTTCTATGCCTCCCCAGGAGTCTTACTAGCCGCGGCTTCGAAAAAAATCGGGTATCAAGAATGTACTAGGAAACGAAGGAGTAGACAATATTATATACTTTTACTTATTTCCGAATTATTATTTCTCGTCCAAAAAATACCAGAAACTCTCTAGCTTCAACGCTCCCGGTCAGTTCAATGCTGTACACAGTGAATTAAATCAAAGTGAACTAAGAGACAGTGATTTTCAGACACTAGGACGTTAGAGCCGACCAGTGCATACAGGGTGACATAAAAAACTCGAACCATTTCCACCGTCCTAAGTGGAAAATAATTAGTGTAGTGCTCAAACGGCCGACCTGGTCGCAACGACAACAAATAGATCTCGGAATCTTTCTAAGAGCATTTGAACTCAAAACGATGGCGGAGGACCGTAAATCCCACCTGCCCTCGATGGTGGCCACAGGACCATACATCAAGAGGGAAAGGATAGGGATGCCAGGGAGCCCTCTAGCCCCCGAGCCAATTAACCAGCGCGTAGGCACCGGAGGTGAAGAGGGACTCTGAGCATGATTTTCCTCCTCCCGTCATACGGATTACAAACCCATTGATGATGCTCCGGGGAGAAGCTGGTAGCTCTCAACAGCCCGAATCCGTCCATGAGGCAGACAATCCTGAAGCCAGCTCTAATTCACGACCGCGACATGGCGCCCAACGTGGAGCTATGTCGTCATATGAAACAAGTGCCAGCGTTCCGCGACAATAAGATCATATTCCGAGATCATGTCTACACCTTTTAGCTAAACTTACTGTAAAACTGAACCAAATCCAGCATTAAAAGCAATGTGTACGCTGTAGTTGAGAGTACAGGTTAGCCTTCAGGCTTTGCATCCGGAAGGTTGGCCGTCCGGCAAGTCGACACGTGAATTGCCCTCCTTATACTTTACCTAGTATTCCTTCAAGTCATGTGCAGTTTATTAGTGTTATTTTAGTTAATACAAAATATGGAACAAAGAAAATGAGTATGTGACAAAAAAATATCAACAAAACTTGTTGCTTTTGATTATTTACATGCGTGATTAAAATCCTGTATGGAAATGGATATTTTTTTGAGAATTACCATTCAAGCTGATTTAAACATAATTTTAATTTCGGATTAATTTGATCCTACTTATGTTTTCCATCCAAACTACTTTAAGATTTCTAATTACAATATAAATGAAGACAGTCAAAAGCATCCTTTTGATTACTCAAATATTGGAATAATAAAAGTTTAAAAGTATCTGAAACGTCGTTTAAGATTGATCGGATTTCTTTTAATAACTAACGTCTTAGCATCTAAAGAGTTTCTTGAAATTAGTTTTACTGTTCAGTTCATAATAACAATCGTTGCAGTCGCATAAAAATTAGGTTAAAAATTGAAATGAGTAAAATTTGTCAACTATATAGTCCTC